AAATATTTTAAAATTTAAAAAAAGTAGATCATAAGCATATTTTTAATAATTTTCCAGGCAAATTTGCCTAGAAAAGCCTACAGATTAAGGGATAATAATAAAAATGATTGACAAAAATTTAAAAATCTTACCATTACATAATGTAAATTACATATAGTGCTGCACTATAGTATTAAATCATATGATGTGCAAAACACCCACACGAGTACTATAGCAGTGAATTACTACTAATAATCTCTTTATTTAATATAGTTTATAAATTAATAATTAAATCATTTATAAATCAATTTTGGCAATACTAGAATTACCGTTGCTTAAACAAAACTAGAAGTAGTACACCTAGCAGTTAAAGGCATTAGTTTTTAATTAAAATTGGCTTAATAATTATACAAATTTGAACTAATGATTACGATCGATTATCTGAATTTTCATTTTTGGAGGGTAAATTTTCTAATTGCACTGCCTTAGTTTCGGCTCTAGCTTGTTTGATTTGCTTGTATTCTTCTTCTGATAACTTTTTAATACCAGTCCATTTTTTTGTGGAGAGCCAATTGAGCAATCCTTCCGTCATATTTTTGACTTTTGATTCTTTTTTATCACTATTCAAACTTTCTTTGGTCAAGGAATTTGACACAAGTGGGGGGTATTGTTGTATATTTTTCGTTTTAAGAATCAACTGTTGTCTGTAGTTGTATGCACTACTATAACAAACATGTCCCAAACCACTTATAAAAGAGAAAAGAAAGATGCTAGATAGAAGGCCTTGGCGGCCATCTTTAAGTAAATAAAAAACAATGAAGCTCATAAAGAGTTAATATATGGTGTGCAAGTTTCTAAAACATTCATATAAAGACAAATCAGAAAACTACTCACGGATGATTGTCGAGAACAAACCGCCAGTCAAGCCGCCAGCAATAATACTGCTGATGAGCTCATCTATGTTCCGTGTATCAGAATTTCTAAGTTTATTTTTTTGTTGATGCGCTAAGCATAGTTCTCGGATACCTTGATAGAAAAAAAAAAATAAGTGCAAAATATTTCATATCGAGTGAAATAAATAAAATCAGAACATACTGAAAAATGAAAATCCAAAGATTCCGCAATTAATGCCTGTAGTAACTGTATAACGAAGAAAAGAGCGATTATAGAAAAAAGCAACCAAGCCACCGCAGGTTACTCCAGCACTGACTTTCGAGAACAAAGCATAAATTACACGTTCAATGAATTGGTTCAAACGTCATTTGTGACAAGATAAATGAACGAATATAAACCAGATAAAAAGGTCCCAGTATAAATTCTATTTCGTGATTCTTCATTCCACTTTCGATGGGAAGCCATAAAAATGCCTATACATGCGATTCGACTTTTAGGGAGTCGGCCAGCAGGTCATGGTCAGACATTCGTTTGATTGGCTGATGCTTAGGATCAGTGCAAAATCATGTGTTTAAGTTGTGATTGGTTATTTAGCGTGGGATCCCTAATTTCTCCCCACAGTTCTAATTGGACAGTTGTAAATGTCATCTCTAATTGGACAATGTCGACTACGCCACCTTTCGTCTACCAATCAAAAAAAAATCAAAGTTTTTAAAGTTTTTCAAAAATCGTCGGTAGCTTAAAATTTTAGTTACAAAACCACCTTTTGTGTTCCAACAAAAAAAACTCCTTGCAATAATATTTGTTCTATGTTCTATTAGACCTTTATACTGTTTCAACGACATTTTCATTATTTGATCGAAAAGTGGGATTTTTTCTCATCCAATAGGAACTGAGGAAAAATTAGTAAACCCTTTAGCGGTTAGGAGAAGGATTTCATATTATATTATGTGATTGTACTGCCCCTAAGTACTCTTCGTAGATTCTGTGCTTTCTTATTGATAACTATCCCAGGATCGCCAACAAAATTACTATGTAATTTTTTGTGTTACGTGATGTTCTACGAAAATAAGCCAATAATTGATCTCGATTTAGTGTAACATTACGTGATCAGAAAAATTCAAAACAAGCCTTCGTTTTGACAAAAGTCACTTATAACTCAAAATCTGCATAAGAAACCACCTTTTGTGTTTTAACAAAAAGTTTTTCTTGAATGATTTTACTATTAAAACTAATTTAATATTGATTTTAACTCTAACCTAAATGGACTTAAAGAATTTTATCATATATCACGTGACCGAAAAACATATTGGCTAATTTTTTTGAAGATCATAAAATTTAGAGTTCAATAATTAGGGTGGGGAGATTATTTGACATTTTAAAATTTTAAAACAGCATAGTGGGTTTTAATTTTAATTGAATGATTAGATAAATTGTTACAAAGTATGTTCTACATATTTAAGTAACGTTTTCCAAGCACAAAAATAGATTAGTAGTCACAAATATGAACTAGTAAGAGTTAAAACCCAAAAAATTTTAAAGTATATAACTTGTTTTATAAACTACCAAAGTAATTCAGTAATCTGTGAAATAATTCAAAAGTTAGATAAAAGGTACGTTTGAATGTTTGAGTTTAGACTATAGATACAAAAAGTTATTAAAGTTAGCAATTTAAGTGCTTTATTGTCTTTATTTGTGAAAACTTACTTTTTTATACCACAACTAATAAAGAAATCTGACTATTATCTAGATTAATAATGGATAATATAAAGTTAGAAGTTGTATAAGACTTATAAAATTCATAAGAAGAGTTAAAATGAAGTTATGTATTGTAATTATATAATGATTAAGATCAGTTTAATATTGAAACAATTACTAAGTATTTATTTGAGTTATTTTCTTATTAGTTATTAGCATTCTAGAATAGTATTATTTATTTCTTGTATTTTTTTGTATTTTTTATATTTGGTTCATTCTTTTTTAGTTTAAATTTTTTTTTTCTTTTTTTAATTCATATATATTAGAATTTTTTTTTTAATAAAATTTTGATTTGTTGAAATTTTGTCTGTAACAAAATTACAGTTTTAGGTTTAAAGTTATTGATATTTAATAGTAAAAACTTCTGCTAGTATTAATTTTATTAAATATATAATGATTTTATATATAGAAGCTTTTTTATTCATAATGATTAGTTAAAAATTTTGATTAACTAATAAAATTTTTATAAAATCATGAATGATCTACAAAAATTGGCCAATCATAATAAAAATCTACTATGCTAGGCAGAAGCATTATTTTGAAAATCACATCTACTAAAATAGCTGCCCAATACGAAAGTATCAAAGCAGCATTTTGTCTTGAATTGATTATGGGTTCTTGAATCATATGATTTATTGTATAAGTTGATTTATACTTGATCAAGTTTTTAATTGATTTATTAATTGATTGATTTATTAAGTTATGATATGACTTTTTTTTTTTGTTATTAGTGATATAATAATATAATTTTTTTAATTAATAATTATTAATAGTATTTAAGAAGAACAGACTTAATTCTAAAAAGTAGTTTCTATTTTTTCTACTAACTTAACTTTGTTTGGTTTTTTTATTTCATCTTACTCAACCCTTATTGAGCAGCTGCAATTGCTTTGAAAACTTAGTTTGAAGAGCTGGATGAGATAATAATCATTGTTTTTAGCTATTATTATAAATTATGACCAGATTGTCAATTATAATTGTGTTTTAGTAGTCTGTCAGAATAACAATCATAAAGAAAAATATTAATTTTAAAGTAAGAGTGGCCTGTTAGGATAATAGTCATAAAGAGAAATGTTTTAGTTTTTGAAATAAAAGTGATCTGTCAGGATAATAGTTACAAGAAAGAATTTTTTTTATATTAACAAATTTAGCATTGTTCTAGTTTATAATATTAGTAACAATCAAATTCCAGAATTAATACTTTATCTTGAAATAATGCTCATAAACATATTCAAAATAATATATATATAGTCAAAATAGCATGCAGATGCCTGCTATTTTAAGAATTTACAGTACAAAGAGTATAATATAATAATACATATATAAAATTTTATATATAATTTTATGTTATAAAAAATTGTAAAGTATCTTTAGTATCATTAGCAGCTATAGTAGTACAGTTGTATTATTGTTATATAGTGTGCAACTATGTTATAATTTAATTGGTTCATGTAAACAAATATTTTTATCATGTAAATTTAAAATTCTCTAAATCAATAAATATGTTGATATTTTTCTGTTTTAAAAATTAGATTTAATATGTTCCAATATCAAAAACCTTGTGAAATATATAATTATTCTAAACAACCTCTTATTACATATAAAAAGAATAAGAGTACATATATATATATAGTTATTTATGAAAAAATCTATTCTAAACTACCTATTTTGCAAGTAACTCTAAAATCTATGAATTATAAAATACCTGATAACTTTAAAATACAAACTTAATGAGATAAAAAAATAAATCAGCATAATGTTATTTGTTCAATTAATTATTTGGAGCATGGTCTGATATATAAAATAGAATGGTCAGATAAAAATACAAATAAAAAAAAAATAGTTTATTCAATAAAATCAACTACAGATGCAGTTAACTTATACATTAAAGTAATATTTTTATTTTTTTTAAAAAAAAATTTTTAAATTATGCTGTATTATAATTTTTTTTCAAAAAAAAAAATTTAGTCAAATTATCAATTTGAAAATAAAAAAACAGTATTTTCAGAACCTTTAATATTTGAATTGCATCTTAAAATTCTTAAAAATAAAAGAATTCATTATCAAAGATCAAAAATTTTATGATTAATTAATCAATTAAGTAATTCAACTCAACATATTCATGCTAAAGAACTTGCAAAACTTATCTTAACTATATTTAATAATAAATCACAAAATTTGTATCATTCTGATAATTCTTTAAAACTTAATTAAATCACCTATGAGCTGTCAAACACAGTATAGAATATTCAATTTAAACAAAAAAATAATGAAAAAAAGCAATTATAATAATATATAAAAGCAGTAAATAAAGGAAAAGTTATATGAAAAGGATATTAAGAATTAGCAAAAATTATACTTGCTTTTCTACAAGAATATTTAGTATCACAAACTCGATCCAATATTTTTTTTTTTTTTTTTTTTTTTTTGAACTTTGGCGACAATGCCAGTTGGTTTTTATTAGCTTAATTTTTGATATAG